GAGCTCACTGAGAATGATACAGACTGGGTGTTGACCTCTCGCCAAATGTAATACCAGCCAGAGTAGCCAATAATCCCAGGAGAAAATATTCTTACAGGTCGAAATATCAAGACATTTTGAAGGGTACAACTGTTTGCAAAGAAAAATACTGGCACATATTTGAAGAAAAGCAGAAATGTTAGATCTCATGGGCCAATAATTTAAAATTAGCCTAACAAACTATTAAAAGAGAAAAGGGAACAAATTAGCAGTACTAAGAACAAGAAAGAAGCAAGCAGAAATATTAGGTATGAACAATATAATGCTTAAAACATTCTGATTGGATACACAGTAGAATTAAAAAGAGGAATAAATTGATGCCTTTGAGAACTAGTTTGAGAAACTCTTCAAGAACAAAGAAAAAGAAAATGTAAAAGTAAGGGCTTATCGGGTTTAACATCTGAATAATGTAGAATAAAAGATAAAAATATAAAGAAGGATGTATCTTAAGAAATGATGGAGATAACAGGACAAAAAAGTGCAAAGATTTTCAAAGCACTGAAGGAAACTCAAAACCTAGAGATTTATATATGCTATGCAGTCATTCAAATACCAGTATATGATAATATGTATTTTCAACCATATAATAAAGCCTCAGAAAATAGCTGTTGATGAAATACTTAAGTGGAAAAAAATGCAGAAAATACTTAAAAATGTATAAAAGTAATTCTGGTTAAATATTTTGGTAGAGTTTGTTGTCCTTAGAAAAGAAAAAGAGAACACTTGACTACATCAGTTTAGAATTTAAAGTAGATAATAGCAACATAATGGAGTTGGAGAGGTAAAGGACACAAAGGGATGTCAGAGTGTACAAGAGTCACTTTAGGGGAGATATATAAATATCAAGGTTCATTTTAAGCAACAAAGGATTAAAAAGAAATAAGGATACACAGAGTATATCAGAAAAATGAAGATGATAGAAACAGTGTATCAGGAGTGAGAATAACCACTATGTTTATTGATAATTTTGTTCTTATTAGTGGGTTGATGATATCCTTACTAATAATCTCTACTCCTTTTTCTTTTTTTATAAGTGGAAATACCTTTTTTTTTTTTTTTGAAATACCTTTTATTTTTCTTCTGTAATACATGGCTACTATAAAGTTTCAAACTCTAGAGATGAAGTGAAAATCCTCCAAAATTAGTTACAATTTGGTATATACTATAGAGGACATCAGACCAGATAACTGCTATCTTTTTTTTTTAAACTAACATTTGCATCCCCTGAACATAATACCTTACATATTCTTTTATCAAAATATTTACCGTTTATATAACATGGCACATGTAACCAGAAGTATGGGAACAGTTTTGAAAGATGTAAATTCAGGGCATTATTAACCTAATTAGGTTTCTGGTTATAAGGCAGTAGAAAACTAACATGTAACCAGAAGTATGGGAACAGTTTTGAAAGATGTAAATTCAGGGCATTATTAACCTAATTAGGTTTCTGGTTATAAGGCAGTAGAAAACTGTTGGAATATAGGAATAATTAAGGTGTGTGGCAGTAGGAATTTAAGTGAAGCAAGATTGGGCAAATCAGAGCCCACTGGTCATAGTTAGGACATTGAGTCCCTCGTCAGTTCAAAAGGGGCGGTGACCATTACATGGCTCAGTTAGATATGGACACAGATTATCTATGTATTTCTAACTCAAAGAAAATTGGGACTGGGTTATATTGCAGGTGGGGAGATCATGAGGTATCAGTAGTACCCATGGAAGGGAACCTGGAAGAAACTGAGGAAGAAACCTGAATAGATCAAAAAATATTAAAGACATAACTAGCATTCAAAGAAATCTCACAAAGGTCCTCAGAACCAGATAGTTTTACATATGAGTTGAAACACATATTAAAGAAACAGTAAATTCATATCTTGTAAAGTTGTTCCAGAAAATAGAGCAAAAATTGTACATCTTATTTTACAAGACTAGTGTAATCTTGATTACAAATCAGAAAAGTAAAATAAAGAAAATTATAACACATTTCACTTAAGGAAGAAGATTCTAAAATCTTGAATAAAATATATGCTAAACAAAATATAATAACATATTAAAAATAATACATCATGATCAATTAGGGAAAACTAGGAATGCAGGGATGGTTTCACATTAGATTTCCTATCCAGATAATTCCTAACATTACTATACCAGTGGATAAATATCACATGATTATTTTAACACACGCATAAAAAGCATTTTATAGGGTTGAATAGCTATTTATAATTAGAATGTGCTGCAATCTAAAAAGAGAACAGCCTTTCTTAATTTAGAGAGGGTTATATATTAATAACTTTCAGCAAGCAATCTTCAGTGAGAAACTGAATTCACATTTTTTAAATGGGGCATAAGATGAGGACGTCCACTTTACTACTATGTAACATAGTTTCAGAGGAACTCACTCAAGATATTGGAAAAAAAGAAAGAAGTATTAGTATAAAGATGGGAAGAGCAGAAATAAAACTATTTGTAATGAATGTGTAATCATCCATCTAGAAAAAAGAATAACCTATTAATAATAAGAGAGTTTAGCAATATCAGAACCAAGATCAAATCTCAAAATATCAGTAGCATTTCTGTATACCAGCAATACATGAAGACAATATTTTTAATTAAATATTTAAAATACAGGTGTCTACTTAAATCACATATTGCAAAAAAAAAGTTGAGAGGTGGAAGCAGCTATATTTTTAATATCTAAAACTGACAGGAAACAGATATCTAGAATATAAAATAAACTCTTAAAAACACTAATCAAGACACAGGAACCCATGTGGAAAATAAAGAGTATGAACAAGCAGTTTCAGAAGTGGGAAACCTAAAGGCCAGCAAGAATACAAAGAGATACTGAAACTCATTAGTGATAAGAGGAATTCAAATTAAAATAATGAACTATAAAATTAAACACATTAGGCTGAAAATATTAGCTAAATAATGTCAAGGGCTGACAGCAATGGGGGAGTTACTGCTGGTGAAAGTATGGGCCAAAGTATTTATTTGGTAGAGCATCATGCAGGAGTTGGTCAAATTACATATAAACGTATATCCTACTGCTCACCAATTCTACCCCAAAGAAATCCTTCCAAGTTTCCATGACAGGATGAGTATGAGGATATTCCTTATGGCATTGTTGTGACAGAAAATAGGAAGCAATCTGGCATCAGTGGGAAATAGAGATAGTTAAACATGGCAGCTACAAATCGTGGAATACTATGCAGCAGTTAGAAGCAATGTAAACACAGAAAATATAAATGAAAAAAACATAAGGTTAAGTAAAATAAAGCAGTAAGAAACAGAAGGAGATACATAGCACAATACCACTTACATATATCAAAATGTCATATACATAAATGGGGAGGGGACAGGGTAGAGATATAGGTAAGACAAGCTCAGCCAAGAGATAATTGTTCAAACTGAGAGATGGGCATGTGAATATTCATAGTATTATTCTCCCATTTCTTTATTTGAAATTTTCCATTTAAAATATTTAAAAAATACATGTATAGAAAATAGCACTCCTATTATGAAAATATATAAAAACAAAAGAGAACAATGCAGTAGATATTATTTTAGACTATCATGTTAGGATGGTTTCCTATGAGTTGAGTTGAGGTCAGGAGCATGGGAGTAGAAATGAGAATAGAAGAAAATACATATATAACATAAACAAGTTCTTTGCATGGACCAGTGATTACAGACTGCCATAAACTGAGGACTGTGATTAACTCCATTCTCTGTGTAACAGGTCCATTAAAAAAAAATCATTTTTTTCCTCAGAAGGGTCTGTTTTATACTGTGGAGATGAAGGAACTATAAAAACAATTGCCTAATATTATAATACATAAAACAATTGAAAAGCTGTTCCAAGTAGCCAACTCTCTACATATAACAATAGAAATGAATTAGAAGTAAGTAATATCATTTATATTTTCAACAGAAGTCATTTCTGACAATAATACTCATCAGAGGAAACTAGCAAAATCAATAAGCTGCTAACCACAAATTAAGGAGAAAAAGTAGATTCTAAGTACTTGCACTAAAAAAGAATAAAGAAAAATAGAACAAAGGAAAAGATTTCCTCCACCAGAGGCTGTATACTCTTATTTGGTTCACATAGTCACAAAAGTGGATTTTCCCCACAGGCAAATTTTTATGCGATATTGAAAAATTAGGCCTTTTCAAAATCTGTATAAAATCAAATACAAGATTTGATTTTACTGGTCTCCCACCTAGATACGATTATAGAGCTGAACAGAAGTACCCCATTTACATATGACATACTTTCCAAGGTTCCAGTGTACTGACCTGATATGCAACATTATTTAAAGTACTGTTTTTGCATTTTGTCCCCCTTGTATCTCACTCAAACTTTTACCAAAATGTATTAGAAATTTACTCACTGATATAAGCATTCCTGGGAGGCAAGAACAGAACATGTTCTGTGAAAGGATAAGGTAGGTCAAGACAAATCTTAAAGGACTCAAAAAATTGTGAAAAGAGGTTTGGTATTCAGAAGCACATTTTCAGTACCTGAAACTATGACAGTGTTTTTGGAGTGGTTAAAGAACAAGTTTTTAACATGGTTAAGGAACTGATTAATGAATATATTAAAAAGAAAGAGCAGTGAACAATAGTTTTTGTTTAAATACTTTTCAAGTTAAACTCTACCAACTGAGTTGTGTTCACAGTTTTGATGGAAGCTACTTCATTCTTCTTAATTGGTTTGCACTCTTCTGTAATAATACAAAGTTTATCAACTGCTTGTAATAAATAAAATCTGATAACTTCCTGTTAAGATGATATTCAGGCATAAAAGTTTGTGTCTAAATATGAATGAATGTGGTTGTGAGGTCACTTAGGCAGGGGCAGTGATAAAAAGTAAGCAAGCTTAGCAAATCCAATTACAGTCTGGCAACCCTAGCCATTTAAATGGGATTATTTATGAGGCTATAGATGTTACTTACCTTGAGTGTCTATCTTTTAAAGATCTTGTCTGTAAACCATATAACCTTCAATATCTACTTTCCACATGAAGAAACTGGGATATTCAAGAAGCATCTAGAAGAGAAATGTATTATGAATTTGAGTTATAAATATTGTTTCATTCTTTCAAATATAAAGGAAGATCTTTATATTTCTATAAATTTCTATAAATTACTCTTTATGACTTTGTTTAAGAAGTTTGGGCAAAGGGAGGAGCTAATCACAGGATATATTTTATATAAATAAAGAGTAAAAATGATATTTTTACCTTTAGAAGAATCAGAAAGTTCTCTTAACATGTACTTTGATTCATGTCATAAAGGTTAGTACTTACATAATGCTAATTTTATCTGACTACCTACATTCTATAAACATTTTTAAGAAACATAAACACACTGATTGTTCTACATGGATACAGCCCCACTCTAGAAAATATTTTCTTTGTTAAAAATGGATAATTAGAAACAAAATGGCAGATTGAGAAGTGAGGCAGAAACCTCCTTCCAAAGCCACACATAACATGAAAATACAACAAACACAACTAATCCTGAAAGAGTGACCCAAAAGAAGAGTGTGATAGATGGCCTACATCTGGGGAAAAGAGAAGACGTCACTGAAAAGGGTAAAGTAGCAAAACCATAATCTGGAGGGACCCAAGCCCTCCAGTGACCCCAGCTCACTGGTGGGAGGAAGATAAATGGAGTGGGGTGGGAGCAGAAGCCCAGGACTGCTAAACATCCACCCCTGGAGATCTGCTCTGGGAGCATGAATCAACTTACATGGTGCTCTGGAGATAAGTGGGGTTGGAAAACAAAGACAAGTGGAATGCTTGGAGAGACTGAGATTCTAGCCACTTGTGGAGAAAAGGTACCCACAACCAGCCACTCCAGGACAAAAGAAAGGCAGACACTTTGAAAGACTTCATAATAGAGAGAGGGCTGCTAAAGGGGCAAGGATTGCACAGAACTTGCTGCTTAGGAGAAAGGACAGGTGGAAAAAATTGTCCCAGCACACTCAGCCAAGCAGGGTTGAGAAATTCAAGGAGTTTCAGGAGCTCCATCTCCCTAGCTGGTAATGCAGTGCTGAGGCCCCACTGTGCTATGCAGCCTGCTGCTCCTTCCTCCCAGCCAGCACTGGTTTGCATACCTGTTGTCCCATCATGCCAGGCCAGCTGGAGGGAGGCTCTGCTAACAACAACCTACAGGGGCCTAAGGCAGAGGCTCCTTCCTGCATGCTAGGCCCTCTGGCCAGGGCAGTGGAGGCAGGCACTGCAGCAGGAAAGCAGGAAAGAGCTCTTTCCTCCCAGTAGGCACTGGCAACATGAGCCTGCTATCGCCACCATCACTCGAGGGGCTGGGAAGCTCCAGAGAGAAGAGTTTCTAGGCACTAGAGGGTGCCATCTACACATTATTATTCAATAGTAATCATCAGAAACATGAAAAGGCTAAAGAATCTAATATAAACCAAAATACCTCAAACATCAGAAAGAGGGCTAGGTGAAACTGAAATCACCAAACTTCTTGATAAAGATTTCAAAATAAAAATCATAAACATTCTCACGGAGTTACAAAAAAAAAAATTCAAGACCTTAGGGAGGACTTCAAGAAAAGATAGAAAATTTGAAAAATACAGTATCTGAAATGAAACACACTACGGAAGGATTTAAAAACAGATTAGATGAGGTTGAAGAGATGGTAAATGAAATAGAAATTAGAGAACATGTATACAAAGAAGCTGTGGCACAAAAAGAAAAAAGGGCCTCTAGGAATGAAAGAATTATATTAAGAGAACTGTGCAACCAATTCAAGTGGAAGAATATTTGCACTATAGGGGTACCAGAAGAAGGAGAGAGAAAAAGGGATAGAAAGTCTTTTTGAGGAAATAATTGCTGAAAAATTCCCCAATCTGGGGAAGGAAATAGTCTTTCAGGTCATGGAAGTGGACATATCTCCCAACACAAGGGACGCAAGGAAGACAACACCAAGACATATGATAATTAAAATGACAAAGATCAAGGATAAGGACAGACTATTAAAAGCAGCCACAGAGAGAAAAAAGATCACATACAAAGGAAGACCCATCAGGCTATCAGATTTCTCAGCAGAAACCTTACAGGCAAGAAGGGAATAGCATGATATATTTAATGCAATGAAACAGAAGGACCTCAAAACAAGAATACTTTACCCAGCAACATCATCATTTAAATTTGAAGCAGGGATTAAACAATTTCCAGATAAGCAAAAGTTGAGGGAATTTATCTCTCACAAACCATCTCTACAGTGTATTTTGGAGGGACTTCTATAGATGGAAATGATCCTAAGGCTAAATAGCTGTCACCAGAGAAAATAAAACCACAGTAAAGGAAGTAGACCAATTAATTACTGAGCAAAAGCAAAATTAAATCAACTATGCATAAAGTCAGTCAAGTGATACACAAAGAATACAGAATATATAACACCTGATATATAAACAGTAAAGGAGGAAGAAAAAGGGAGAAAAAAAAGAATTATGTTTGAAATAGTGTGATAAGCAAGTTAAGTTAGGTTGTTAAATTAAGTAAAGAAGCTGCCCTTAAACCTTTGGCAACCATGAATCTGAAGCCTGCACTGGCAATAAGTACATATCTATCAATAATCACCCTAAATGTAAATGGTCTGAATGCACCAATCAAAAGACACAGAGTTACAAAATGGATAAAAAAACAAGACCCATCTATATCCTGCCTAGAAGAGACTAATTTCAAACACAAAGACATACACAGACTAAAGGTGGAGGGATGGAAAAGACATTTCATGCAACACACAGGGAGAAAAAAAGCAGCAGTAACAGTACTTGTACCAGATAAAATAGACTTCAAAACAAAGAAAGTCACAAGAGACAAAGAAGGACACTACATAATGATAAAGAGGTCAGTCCAACAAGAGGACATAACCATTATAAGTATCTATGCACCCAATATAGGATCAACTAATTATGTGAAACAAATACTAACAGAATTAAAGGGGGAAATAGAATGCAATGCATTCATTTTCGGAGACTTTAGTACAACACTCACTCCAAAGGACACATCAATAAGACAGAAAATAAGTAAGGAGACAGAGGCACTGAACAACACATTAGAACAGATGGACCTAACAGACATCTACAGAACACTCCATCCAAAAGCAGCAGGATACACATTCTTAAGTGCACATGGAACATTCTTAAGAATAGATCATATACTAGGCCTCAAAAAGAGCCTCAGTAAATTCATAACGATTGAAATTGTACCAACCAGCTTCTCAGAGCACAAAGATATCAAACTAGAAATAAGTTATGCAAAGAAAACAAAGAAGCCCACAAACACATGGAGGCTTAACAACATCCTCCTTAATAATAAATGGATCAGTGACCAAATAAAAACAGAGATCAAGCAATATATGGACCCAAATGAAAACAACAGCACAACACCCCAAAATCTGTGGGAGGCAGTGAAAGCCATTCTAAGAGGGAAGTATATTGCAATATAGGTTGACCTTAAGAAAGAAGAACAATCCCAAATGAACAATCTAAATGCGCAATTAATGAAACTAGAAAAAGAAGAACAAATGTGCCCAAAGTCAATAGAAGGAGGGACATAGTAAAGATTAGAGCATAAATAAATAAAATCAAGAAGAATAAAACAATAGAAAGAATAAATGAAACCAGGAGCTGGTTCTTCAAGAAAATAAACAAAATAGGTAAACCCCTAGCCAAACTTACCAAGAAAACCAGAGTTTATACCCATAAACAGAATCATAAATGAGAAAGGAAAAATCATTAAGGATACCAAAGAAAAACAAAGAATTATTAGAGAATAATATGAAAAATTATACACTAACAAACTGGATAACCTAGAAGAAATGGACAACCTTCCAAGGCTGATCCAGGAAGAACACAGAAAATCTGAAGAGACCAAATACCAGCAATGAAATTGAATTGGTAATCAAAATCTACCTAAGAACAAAACTCCTGTACCAGATGGCTTAACCACTGAATTTTATCAAACATTTAGTGAGAACCTAATACCCAATCTCCCTAAAGTTTTCCAAAAAATAGAAGAGGAGGGAATACTTCCAAACTCATTCTGTGAGGCCAGCATCACTAATGAACAAATGGGACTACATGAAACTAAAAAGCTTCTGCCGAGCAAAGGACACCATCAGTAGCAAAAAAAGTCAAAATGAATTAATGGGACTACATCAAACTAAAAAGCTTCTGTACAGGAAAGGACATCAACAGAACAAAAAGGCATCTACAGTATGGGAGAATATATTCATAAACAACATATCCAAGAAGGGGTTAACATCCAAAATATATAAAGAACTCAAATACCTCAACATCCAAAAAGCAAATAACACAATTAAAAAATGGGTGGAGGATCTGAAGAGATACTTCTCCAAAGAAGAAATTCAGATGGCCAACAGACACATGAGAAGATTCTCCACATCACTAATCATCTGGGAATGCAAATTGAAACCACAGTGAGATATCACCTCACACTAGTTAGGATGACCAACATCCAAAAGACAATCATCAACAAATGCTGGCGAGGATGCAGAGAAAGGAGAACCCTCCTACACTGTTGGTAGGAATATAAATTAGTTCAACCATTGTGGAAAGCAATGTGGAGGTTCCTCAAAAACTAAAAATAGAAATACCATTTGACCCAGGAATTCCCCTCCTAGGAATTTACCCAAAGAAAACAAGATTCCAGATTCAAAAAGACATATGCACCCGTATGTTTATCGCAGCAGTATTTACAATAGCCAAGATATGGAAGCAACCTAAGGGTCCATCAGTAGATGAATGGATGAAGAAGATGTGGTACATATACACAATGCAATATTATTCAGCCATAAGAAGAAAACAAATCCTACCATTTGCAACAACATGGGTATTATGCTTAGTGAAATAGGCCAGATGGAGAAAGACAAGTACCAAATGATTTCACTCTTTTGTGGAGCATAACAACGAAGCAAAACAGGAATAAAATGGCAGCAGAACCACAGACTCCAAGAAGGGATAGGGAAGGCAGGTGGGGAGGGAGGGAGAAG